GAGGAACCAAAGCAGGGAAGTCGGGCTGCCCTCCTTCCCTCCCTTTCCCTCCCTCCCTCCCTGCCTTCCTTCCTTCCTTCTCCCCTCCCTCCCTCCCTTCCTCTTGAGAGCCCTGGAGCCGCAGGGAGGGTCCTCTGGGTGCCCGTTGTAAAGTGGGTGGTCGCAGGGGGCTGGGGGGGGAACCGCTGGAGGGTCCTACCTGCGTTGGGGAGGCAGCTGGGGGCCGTTCCCGACCAGGTCCCGCTCTCCTGGCACAGCCTGCTTGCCGAGCCCACCAGGGTGTAGCTGGGATGGCAGCGGAAGTGGATCAGGGAGCCCTGGAGGTAGTCGGTCCCGATCTTCTCCCCATTGGCGGGTGGGGCCAGCCAGCCGCACGAAACCACTGCGGGGGGTGGGGGTGGGAACACACCGGGAGGGTTTCCAATGGGCCAGGCCTGGGCCACAGATAAAAGCCTCCTGCCCCCCCTGACGCTTGGCCAGCCTCCCTGCGCCGGCTGAGTCCGGCTCCCGGGTGGCTGCTTCAGGAGTGGCCCTTTCCCTCATCCCTCCTCTACAGGGGGCGTGGGGGGGGGGGGCTGTTGGGGTCCCTGGTGCCCTTCGCACGGCCAGTCCACCCCCCCCCCCGGCATCCGAGGGGGCTTGGCTGTTCCTTGTCGGCTGGAGAACGTTTGCACCTGGCTGACATCTGCCCACGCCGTCCGCCCAGTGCCTCCCCTGGGGTGGCTGCTTAGCGTTGCCCTCCGGTGGCTTCAGCCTCCCAGCGGAGTCAGTCGATTCCAGCCGACTGGGGGGCTGCCAGGAGCTCCAGGCTGAAGGCCGGACTGGGAGGGGGCGGGCGGAAGGCCCTCGTGGCTGCCGCCTGAGTTCTCCGGATTCCCGTTCCGTGCCGGGCTGTAAAATGCCGTCGACTGCAGGCAGCAGCCGCCGCCGCGGGGGGGGAGGGTGTGTGTGTGTGTGTGTGTGTGTGTGTGTGTGAGTGAGGTGAGGCTACCTGGCTTCAAGTCCTGCTGGAGTTTTTGGAAGCGCTGGTGGGAGGCCCTGGTGAGGCTCCCCAGGGCCAGGTCCCCAGTCGTCAGGGCGTCGAAGCGGCAGAAGGGATCGCCTTGGCAGACGGAGGCCGCCTGCTGCACGAGCGTCTGGTTGGCGTCTCCGGGGACCGAAAAGGAGGGCAGGAAAGAGGCGTGGTGCTTGGGCCCGTAGACGAAGCTCTCCAGCAGCTCCCAGCTGTCGTAGGTGAAGAGGGAGGTTGCGTTGCTGATGGCCCCTGGAAAGAGGGAAGGGAACCTGAGCCTTAAAGGAGGAGCCGCATCGGAAGGCGGCTTCCAAGCCAGCTTTGGCGGCTGATGGGGCCCTTGAAACAGGGCTCGGCCGGTCAGGGGCTGCTTACCACGGATTGGCAGCCTGGACCGGGGAGGGGAGGGGGAGGTTGGGTGCCACACAAGCCCCCGTTCTTCAGGTGGGCAGGGCCACCAGACTCACTTGCGGCCCAGTTGCAAAAACCCTCTGACTTAAGAGAGACAAATGGGGGGGGGGTTTTCCGCCCGCCCCCCCCCCCCCCCCCCCCCCCGCAGGCGAGAGCCTCCCCTGGATGGTGCCAGATCAGATGAACAAAATACCGGGAAACGACACAATCCAACCCTTAAGGGAGCACGTTGGAGGGAGGGGAACCCCATGATTCCCGGGCGGGACAGCAGCCCTTCCCGCTTGGACGTCCTTGAGGCGGAGGGGCCTTTGGGCACTTAGCAGCTGAAGGAGGAATTCTGGGGAGGCCTCAGGGTTTCCTCGGGGTTCCCTTCCCGCTGCCGGCCCTTCCGCAGGGACCATGCCTGCAGGCTCTGGCTGTTTGGCCTGTGGGGCTCCCCTGCCGCACTCACACTCTGCTCCGAAGGCGAAGTGCTCCCGGGGGCCGCTGCTGGCCACATCCAGAGCGGTGCCGTTGGGGAGGGTCAGGTCGTCCTGCGGCCTGCCGTTCATTCGGCCAAAGAGCCCCTCCGTCTGGTCCTGGAAGGTCTCCGGCAGCAGGACCGTTAGGCTGAGCACCTTCCCTCCCTGGCCGCTGACTTCCACGCCGGCTCCGGAGGAGAAGAGCACCGAGACGTTCTGCCCAGGGCTGCTGTAGAGGAAGAGGCCTGGGAGGGGAGAGGGGAGCAGGGGGGTCCTAGCCGGAGTCCCACTGCTGGGTTAGGGGATCGCGCCCAGGTTCCCCCGCCGAGCGCTGATCCGCTGAGAGGAGGAAGAAAAGCGCAGGGGCGGCTGGGAGGGACAATCCTGCGCTTCTCTGTCTCCGCTCACCGGTTTGGCCAAACCGGCAGCGCAACCACCACTGAGAGACACCCCGGTGAGCCCCAGGCAGAGCTACTCCCCAAGCGGGGGTCCCAGGCACCCCCCCTTTCTCCCCTTCCGGGTCATCCTCCCCCCTCAGCAGGGAAGGGCGCCCCTCCCTCCGACCCGGTTGCAGCTGGGAGCCGTCCAGAGCACCGTGGCGGTTCCTAATTCCAGGGCCGAACTTTGGGGGCAGCGGGAGCCCAGAGGGGAGCCTTCCTCAGGGGGAGACCCCCCTGCCCAGGATGCCACCCCCAACCCCTGAGCCTCGGCCGCGGAGGGGAAGCAGCGAGGGCTTCCTGTTCCTCCTTGTCCGGTAGGACCCTGGAGGGAGGCAGGTGTGGCCTGGGAACCCTCCTGCTCTGGCCACCAGGTGGCGCTGCTCTGTGCCTTGTCACAGAGCAGAAGAGGAAAGGCCCCTTGGAGGTCTTCTAGTCCATCCCCTTCTTCAAGCAGAACCTAAACCACCCCAGACCAAGGGATTGTCCAAGAGCTGGGGCTGAAAGGAAAAGGGGCCACTCCAAATGGAGGGAGAGGAGAGAGGGTCTCCCCCCTCTTCCTCGGCCTGTTTGCCAGCGGAAGACGCCTCCCCCCCTCCCCCCCCTTTTAAAGGGGCCCATGCGGAGGAAGTTCAACAGAGAGACCCTGCCTGGAAATCATGCTCAACCTGATGACCTCTTAGGTCCCTTCCAACTCTGGGAAAGGTTTCTCACCGTGTCCCTCCCTCCCTCCCTCCCTCCCTCCCTTCCTGCCTGCCTTCCTCCTCTCACCGTTTAAGTCCATCCAGGTTTGTTCAGAAAAGTTGAGGGCCTTTTGATTCAGCAGGACCTCCAAGGCGGGGGAGTTTTCTCCCAAGCGAACCTCCACCACGTCCGAGTTGTTCTCCCGCATGGCGATGGCGGAGAGGCCGGTCACGTTGGCTTTGGCGCCTGCCGGGCAGCAGCGCAGTCACCAAGAGGGTCAGTGGGGAGGCCACCCCCCCCCCCCCCCGCCCCCAGCCTGGCCCCTTTCCCCCCCCCCCCATGCGTAGGACAAGTCTGATATCCTGGCTGGGCTTTGGCTCCAGGGCAACAACCACGGGGCTCAGCGGTGGGATCCAAACCTTTGGAGCTGCCACCAGGGAGGCTAGCAGGGCCCCCTACGGGGAGGGGCCCCCCTTAGGGGGGCGGGGGGGGGAGAGGCTTCAGGTAACTCTCCATGCGGAAGCATCTATTTTGGGGGGGGGGATTTCTGGAGAGCAGCCTGCCCCGCCCATCCCTGCTCTGAGCTCACCTGAGCTACGGCAGAAAGCAAGGGGAGGGGGGGGGAGTTGGTCTTTGGGGGGGGGGACCGACCCCTTTCCTGGCTTCTCCCTGAAGGGCGTTACACGGGGAATGGAAACCGGTGCTCAGGACAGGGAGTGGCCCTCTTAAGAGAGGTGTGTGTGTGTGTGTGTGTGTGTCATTCACACAGAGTTGGGAGGGACCTTCTCGGTCATCTAGTCCAAAGTCCCTTCAGGGGCCCCTTCGGCAGGAAACCCTACCCCCATTTCTCTCCCCCGTGGGTAAACGGGAGGGGTGACCAACAGCTCCCCCTCCCTGGGAGAGAAGAGATGTC